TTCATTATTATTTAGTACATAATTTTCAAATTCATTCAATAGTAACTAATTCCCTTTTTTATATCTGTTTTATAAAGTAATACCTATAATTGAACTATTTTCTTTACACGATATTATTGATTAGGAATTATTTTTTACTAGAGTTACGGTCTATGGGATGGTGTTTGCATGAAAATGTCAAACTTTTGCAAACACATACTTTTATGGAAATATTTACCTATTGTCAAATTTTATATTATATATTTTTAAAGCAATTAAATTTATTAAATATACTAGATAAATTAAATAATACTGAACAAAATATAATAATAATAACAAAATAATACTTAGTTACTGAATAAAATAATATTCAAAATGGTATTAACGAATTATCAATGAATAACTTATACCTATGAAAAAATAAGAGAGGAAAATATATTAGGAAAAAGAAGAAAAACTAAAAAAAGAAATGTTTCTCTGATGGGATTGGAACACGAAAATGTGTTTTATTTGGACTATTTCATAAATATCGGGATTTTTGTATGAATATGTCAGTCTGGCTTTCGCCTACGTCATACTAAAGAAAAATTTATTTTCGCATTTTATACTGTTTAATAATAAAATAAAATAAATAAAAGTTGCTTTTTAAAATTATTGCAGAAAAAAATTAAAAATAAGAATAAAATAATAAAAAAACAACTTAAAAAAATGCGAGGTCTAGTGGGATTAGAACTTATAACTTCGAGACACTCGGGTCCCTTCCCTAGTACATTACACCAAAAATATTGTCAAAACAAGCGCGAAATTAAAATACTTATTTAAAATGTTTTTTTTTTTACAATTTTAGCGATCTCGGTACGTCAGAATGCTGCACAAAGCAACATAGGTCCATCTAGCAACACGCCTCAGCGTGAACTAAGTTAGTGTGCGTTATTCTATAGCCTTCCCTGTCAATTGCAGTAGGAGTGACAGAAATGTCAATACTTTAAAGTTGCTTGAGAAAAATGACCATATGTGCCATATCACAAAATAAATTATATTAATTATTATAATAACATTATCAAAAATTGGGAATAACCAACTTTTATATCAACCTTTGATACATATTTGTCCTCAATATCATTACTCTAATGTATCACATAATTGAGAAACGTGCCTTTCGCAATATTTTTAGATGCTACTTTGGAATTATTTTCTATCGAGTGAAGTTAATACAATCATGTTTCGGTTTCAACCACAAGATCAGAAATACGATCAAGTATAACCACAAATTTTTGGATTACCATAGGTTTCCCGTGAATTAGTACAATCCTAGATCAATTTTATCGATTTGGCACTATTCAGCCTCTTAAGCGTTATAATAATGCCTATTTTATGTTAATAAATGGATTATAACCTATGTCATCTGCGTATAATGTTACTTCCAGTAGGTGAAAGTAGTTTCAGAGTCTAATGAATGCAAATGAATAAACAATCGAATCTTATCTCTTTATATTATTATTATTATTTATTATTATACATAATTATTAAATACAGGATATCTTTCAGTGTTTAATAATAAAATTCAGCTTTGCTATTCTGTTAAAAAATATCGTTGAACGCAGCGTCAACACAGCGCTGTAAAAACTCCAATGAAACAAAACAAAACCTCTATTACATTTTGAAATAGGTTTTATTAGATTGAACCTCTGTTGCGACAGTGCTGTGTTCGGCGATGCATTCAACTTTTTTTTTAATAAATTCATCAATAGTGGAGTTATTTTGCAGTGTATATTGATGCCGGTGTTGGGACAACTAACCCCGTCAAATTAACCTTTGTAACGAGCGGCAATACCTTCGAGAGAATTTGGAAGGTGAAGGTGACGCAGATACCATGCAGCACTATCTATAAAGGTCAGTTTGTATATCATTATTAGGCAACTAGTTGTTGTCCTGCGACTTAGCATGCGTAAATTAGAGGCCTATGTCAATCCCGTACCAGGTAGCTAAAGATATGTGAAAGAATTTTTAAAATAGGTCTAATAGTTTCGGAGCCTATTCCATCCTACCATCATCATCATTATCATCAGCCCTTTTACGTCCCCAATGTGGGGGCTCAGGCCTTCCTTATGGATGGTTAGTTTTATATTAAAGAGTTTTTTTTAAGTACAAAGTTTTAATAATTATAACACAATAAGTTCTTAAATTCTTTCGAATATAAATTTAAGCGTGCTAAATAAAAATATCATGCTAAAATCAAGTTAATTCATAACCACATTTCGAGATTTGCCGTACATTAGAGAAAAATAACAACGTATTTAATTAAAATAAGTATTATTTCCTTCTTGGAAAGTAAAATATCTTAATATACTATTAGGCAAGTTCTCTCCTTTTAAGCTAGCGCACGTATGCAAATCTGATTGCAAAATTTGACATTAGAAGTGCATTTAGTAAAATTACTGCGAAATTCTCTAGAAATTTCTTCAGCGTCCTTTGAAGTCTGTAATGTATCAACTCATAAATTGGACTCGAAGGTTCTTAAAAGTAATCCGATATTTCGTATGAGAACTTAACTGAGTACACAGATTTCTAAATACCAACATAAAGCTATGTTTTCTATACGTTACAAGATCAATTGCGCACTAATACAAATATTACAAAACTGACATATTTTTTAAACTTGCCCATTAAATTTAACAATAACAATGGAAATTTCATGAGTAAATTGTATATTATCAAAGTAACAAGCACCCACTTGTTACTTTTGAGAGCATATTATTGTAAGTACCAATTCTGCAAAACAAGGAGCGCCCTTAATCCTTGATATGTTTATATTTAAAAGTAAAATACAACGAAAGCTCGTAATGATACCATCAAAATCCTTTTTTCTAAGAAGATGTAATAGCTATTAGACTACATAAGTTGCCAGCAAAATACTAATAATGTTTTGAAAACATGGCGAAGTGTGGCTTGTGCCGAGGGTTCTACATGTACTTACAATATTGTATATTAGCTACTTAGTCTTGGAGCTTGGAGATTATTATTATGTTTCCTAGTATCTCTCCCATCTAGAATTAGTTTAAGAAGCTTACAGTAATATACAAAATTAGTTTCTTCAAGGCAAGATTGATAATAATGCGTTTAAGAATGTACAATAAAAAAATAAACAATGTAGTTATAAAAATAATTTTCTTGTCAACAAAAATGTAAGTATTAAATAAAAGTCTTTTGTTTTATTTCATCATTAATATAAAATGTACATATATGAATTATGCAAAGATGGTTTCGTACAATTGAACTGAAATATAACGTAATTAAATTCGTACGCAATTCTCATTTTATAGAAGGAAACTAACCTACAAATACAGGAAAAATGCGGTTTAGTGATTTTGATAGAAAATTTTTATTTTTATAAATTATAAAGTACTCTACAAAAAAATAATTCCCTACTGTCATAATGTAATTTGGAAACTACACCTACGAATGAAATATGTTATCGATTGATTTATTTAGTACCTGTTCAATATGCAGTTTCAATCTATCACCGATAAAAAAAATAGTGATCCAATGTTTCATTTTAATGTACGAAACCCTAAAACAGAAAATTCCATAGTTAAGTGCTTATTAGAAATAAATAATGAGTTGTTTACTCGTCATTATTCATTTTTCCTAGAACCAATTGCGTATGGAAAAACATGCACTTAATTAGAAAAAAAATACCCTGGCAACAATTTCTAATAACCTCGTGTGGGATGGTATTACGTTTTTTGTGATATATAGAAAAAAAAATCTTCTTTATTAAATATTTTTCTTTGAACTAATGATGATGATGGAATCTAAAGAGCATGATTTGTGTCTGCCTTTTGACGACGGAGAATGGTGTTGGATCAATTAGCAACTATATTTATTTCATTTTGAATATTTGGGCCAATTACAGAGTCGTCTTATAATAATGCTTAGACAAAATAACTATTTTATTATGCCTATCTATATATATCTTCATACCGTATCCCTTGCGGGGTAGGCAGTGAGGATCGAACGCCACAATGTTAAGTCTCAGCCACCTTCATTACTCTTTTAATTCATACTTGCCAATTTTATGACCTCTAATCGCCTTCGAACAGCACGCGATTGATTTGATCGCGAAAGGTGTGTCGCCTTCCTCGGCTTCTGCATCTAGATTTCTAAAATTAACGTTTGATTAACAATTTATTAATTAATTTTGAATAAAGAAATAAATTTCAAAGATGTTATTAAATATGACTTAATTTTCAAAGGTAGCATATTGTATTTTTTATATAATTATATATCAATTAGCAACTATATTTGTTTCACTATATATCTTATATATCTTTTTAGTACCTAATTTTGAATTTTCTATTGTCATACTATAAATGTTTTATATTTGTAATTTGGTACTAAATAAACAATGTTCTATTCTTTTCTGTTCTATCTGTTATGAGCAGAAAAAATCCAATTCAAGTATCTAATGTTCATTTCTTATTTTTATTGTATTTTTGTGTCGCAAGAAAAAAGTCAGAGAAAAATTGTAGTAGAGTGTTGAAATTCAAAAATTTTACAAAAAATGGTTTGCGGGTGTTTAATAAAATCACCTTAAAACTCGACGTCAAGCACAGCGCTGTAGTACTGTGCAAATGGAACCTTTTGTTACCTTTTGAAGTAGGTTCTATATATTTAACCTCTATGCTGTGATAGCGCTCTAAGTCGAATCCAACACAAATTTTATTACAGGATGGCAATGCTTGATTTATTTATACATTTAACTTATACGTATTACATAAAAAAAAACCAGACAAAATTTATAAATGCAAATGATTGTGGATTAAAATTATTCGAACGTAAAACATTAAAAAAGTCCTCGAAATGCTGGATAATGCCGTTTAAAAAATTTTTGATGGTATTTTTTATTTAAAATGAACCTATTCACTCACGCCCTAAATAGGCGAAATAAAGGAATAAAGTCGCCGGCATGGGGTCTCCTTGGTAGTGCTCATGGATTTATAATGATTATTTTTATGTAGCTGATGAAGGCTGCCTACAATACTACACGGGTGTGTCAGGGCAGCTACGCTCATTCAACTACGACCCTGCATCTGGTCTGCAGCTCAGCAACCAAGATTACGGTATCTGTATCAGAATGGAGAGAAACTTCTGCGGAATACAGTACACGGCGTGCCCTGACAACGGTATGTATTTATTCAAATCAAATGATATGAGTGTCTAATTAGTATCACAATTGAAAAATGTCATATATATCATGTAGATCACATACGTAGATTGGATTATTTGTGACATCAAATTCCTTTATATATTCCACACCAGCCCTTTTACGTCCCCACTGCAGGGGCTCAGGCCTTCCTTATGGATGGTTAAGGAGGATGGGCCATGACCCTCCACGCTGGCCCAATGCGGATTGGAGGGTATTGACGACTGCAAATGCAGCCGGGACCAACGGCTTAACGTGCCTTCCGAAGCACGGAGTAGCTCGAGATAATAATTTTTTGGTCACCCATCCCGTGACCGACCCTTGCGAAAGTTGCTTTACGACTACGATCGCGGGCCGTGGCGCTTATCCACTACGCCACCGAGCTACTTTACATATAACAAAAAGAAAAAAAAAGAAAACAAAGAAGGTTGTTGCGAGAGTTAAAACTGCATTTTAACCAATCATTCAAATCTCAGTAACCTATATAGGTACCTTATTGCAAATCTGAGAAAATAAAAAAAAATCTTTACATAATCGTTGATCCGATATTCTAATTTCAAATTAAAAAAGTAGTTTTCTTGTCCCACCGTAAAGCTAGTTCTTAGTCAATACTTATTTTGCCTAAATTTGTTTTTTCGTCATATATTATTTGAATTGTACATAATTTACTTAATGTAATAAAATATATTAGTTACTCGATAGCACAAACTCATGTATTTTTTCATATAACAAAAACGTTTGAGTAATGCAGCCGGATTTAATTGAGAAGTGTTTTGTTCCAATTTGTAAATTTTACGTATTTCCATTGCAAAATTTCCCTGAGCGAGCAAAATAAAAGAAAAATCTGAACGAACACCGCTGCAGTTACATTTGTTTTAAAGTAGAAATAAACTATGAGTATCGCGAACTAAACGATAAATAAATACGGAGTTACAGCGAAACTTTCAGATCGAGCCTGTTAGTACCCAACGATCCGTGGAAAATGGATTGGAAATGAATTTACAAAACCAGAGCACAAGCGAAAACTCTTTGATTGGCCGGTACAGTTTATCGGATGAACTTTTCACGTTAGTTTAATTGTAAAATGTTTACAGAAAGATACCGTTTTTCTATTTATACATGAACTATAATTAATTACTCATAATTTTATTTAAATTTAGTAGGGTAAAAGACCCGATTTTCAACACTACCCCTTTTTTGAGCAACCGGTTCTATCAAAGGCATTGGTAAATACCTGTGTTCTGTGGGTAAATACCGTGGTCATTTTATTTAAATATTTATAAAAATAATACCGTTGACAGCTGTAATACGTCATCGTTTACTTCCTCGAAACCTTTAAAATATTAAAATGGCCAAAACTTACTCAAAAATTTATCTAAAATATTTGAATTATTTTAGTTCATTTTTTCATTTACAATAATTCTCATGATCAATATCAACTTGCAGCTCCCCTCTTAGAGATCGTGATTTCACAAAACATTTTGATCTTAACGGTCATATTATTGAGCTTTCAGTAGCACCGTTGCGACTTTATTAAGCATTAAATAAATCCACAATTGATTACATAGGTGTTTGAAGTAAAAATGAATCAATACTTTTTAACTTGCGGTATAAATTTGATATTCACTATAAATTCGAGCGTACATGTACCACTCAAAATAATAGGTAAGCCACCGATATTGAATCTGGAAAATTGCATATAATCTATTTTTGGGTTAAAAAAAATCTCAGCTACATAAGGGCTCCACTTACTTTTGTAATTATATTAATTTTTTTGATTATTATTGTACGTTTACTTTTGAAATAACTATTTTGGAATAATAATAAGTGTATGAATTTTCGAGGAACACTTAGGACGCTTCCAGGGACTACCGGCGGTCTGCGGAACACCTGTTAACAACGATTAATCCAGATTAATCGAGAATGTTCGGTGATTAAACAAAAATGAGTTTATGTTAATGTTTTGCGCAGTTTACATAATATACTTGATATTATCTTTGTTAGCACTTAAAAGCAAAAGGTTTATGGATCAATTTATTTCTTATAAACAATTCATATGAGAAAAGGGCATGTGACTGATATACTTACGTATTCCTAGGTTACTTTGGTCAATTCGTAGGATATGGCTCTGAACAAATCAATGCTTGAAGTTCGTTTGATATTGTAAAGAAATAATGTTATCATGAAAAAATTATTAAAAAGATATCCGACTATTCTAACGGCATATTGCTACTGTTTTTTTTTTAATGATTAACATCAAAATTTTCTACATTAAGAAAAATAGTCACTGAATATAATTTCATATTCTTCTTATTATTCATTTAAATAAACTTTGAAAGTAATTAAGTGGAAGTAAGATATTGAGTTTTCCTATAAAATTAAAATAAAAACATTTTCCCCAACTTAATAATCTAGTCCGTTAAGGCATCCGAACCGGTTTCCACAAAGCAGTTTTTAATCTGAAATAAATTAACGGTTTTGGTGGGTCCGAAAAAATATTCCAGAAGGTAGTTCGGATATTTTCAACATCTCTTGAAAATTATATGACATTTTTTTTTAAATTATCTGGTATTTCGGAAGTTAAAAAAGACTGACAAAAGAGTATTCAATTAAAACATCTAACGTATTTGAAACACACACTTGACGATGATTAATCGCGAACTAACAATAGCATACTTCCGTGCTACAAAATATTCGTACCTAGTAGTTAAAAATGTTATGAGTTTAAGGTAATGAAGAGGAACTTCATAGAAAACTAATCCAAACTGTTGCATATGCTACTTAGTCGATATTACATAAGATAATTTGATCACTACTGTATTGACAAAACTTTGGATACTGTTAACTATTGGAACTTTGGATATAGTTGGGGGCTGTGCAGTTCAAGTTTCTCGGGTGAGTTTCGATGAATATGCCTCTAGCACAAAAGCAGCTTTCTATGAAAAAAAATCTACAATCGTATAATTGAAGAAATAGGACTACGATCTTACAGCTAAAATAGTTTTCGAAATGTTAGCCAAAGTTTGCATTCTGATTCTCCTCTTTAGTGCAACAAAGATGTGTTTTACGCCGATGTTTTTAAAGATTATCATAGCAGAGAGTATTATTTTTATAGCGCGTTACAAAAATTATATTTCGTTTCAAGACTAATTAATAGAAACTTCATGTTAAAATTTATATTTCATTTTAATGTTTACTAATATAACGTTATGACAAACGTCCATTTAAATAGTCATTAGTTAGAGCGACATTATCCATACAAAGTTGACATTCAAAAGAGTTTAAAGGCATCATTAAACCTTAATGGACGTTTGTGGTAAAGGAACTTTAGTTAATTAATCCAGATCATAGCGTACGGATAGAGTAGGTACATCATAATTAGCAATGTGTTTATTAAATATCTTTTTTCGTTCTTTATTAACGTCGAAGTAAGCAGGTTAAGCTTTTAAGTGGATAAGCGCCGCGGCCCGCGATCGTAGTCGTTAAGCAACTTTCGCAAGGGTCGGTCACGGGATGGGTGACCGAAAAATTATATCTCGAGCTACTCCGTGCTTCGGAAGGCATGTTAAGACGTTGGTCCCGACTGCATTTGCAGTCGTTAATACCCTCCAATCCGCATTGGGCCAGCGTGGAGGGTCATGGCCCATCCTCCTTAACCATCCATAAGAAAGGCCTGAGCCCCTGCAGTGGGGACGTAAAAGGGCTGGTGATGAAGCAGGTTAAAACAGCCGGTAAAATGGGAATCAGAATCAATACAACTAAAAATAATCACATTTGTTGTATGGGAACCTCCTTAAATATTTATTGTATTCATTTTTAGTATTTTTTTGTTGAACCGGCAACAGAAATACATCATCTGTGAAAATTTCAACTGTCTAACTTTCACAGTTCATGAGATAAAGCCTGGTGACGTCTGTCTGTCTAGACAGACGGCGAAGTCGCAATAATAAGATCCCGTTTTACCCTTTGGGTACGGAACACTAAAAAGAGAGAGAAAACTTGAATATGTTTTACCATAACTAACACAATATTAAAATTTGTACACTGAAATTCATATTCTTCCTGTATATCTTTACGAGAAAGTTTTTGAAATTGAACCACGAAACTATTTAAATGAAGTCACTTTTTTAATTAGAGCACTATGTGTGTAAAATAGGGAGGAAAAGTAACCCTCGGTGAATTTATGTCGGCCTTTCTCAGTACAAAGTCTTGTGCTGGATTTTCCAAAATTGCTTACTAAGAGCCCAGGTTAAATGTATACTTTTAATGAACGTAAATAACGTATTTATTTATTAATATATTTGAGAATATTTTCGTTATAACCATTTTCTTTAAAACATGAGAAAATGGAATTTTCTGCTTTTTCTAAAAGGTAATAAGGTCGATAGTACCAGGTGCATCTCCAATCTTTTAGACCCTTCATGACGTTTAGAGCCCGTTTGGTGGGATATCAAAACCTGAGTGCCCACTCTTATGTTTCGATTCGTTCTTATAATTTTGTCAAAATCATAGTCGTGAATATTATCTGTGCACCAGAGGCAGTATCAGATCCTGCCACCGTTGCGTCATATCGCCAATATTTTAATATCCTAAATGTTGAATCGGATCAAATAGGAAGAATGGGCTATGACCCACCATGCTAGCCTAGTACAGATTGGCATTGGTTAGTACGGGACCAGCGGCTTAACGTGACTTCCAAAGCATGGAGGAGGTCGAGAATTTTTTTTTTTTTATCAGCTATCCTATGAGTGGTTATGGCTAAAGTTACTTAACAAGTTATCTAGACACTACGCATAAATTGCAACATATAACTTGTTTCTCCGGAAAAGAAGTTTATTGCAACATAAACTTCTTTTCCGGAGAAACAGAATAGAGTGTTTGTGTTCTATTTTTGTAGATATTAATCGGCTAATGATGATGATTTATTGTTACAACAAATCACTAATCCGTTGATTCATGAGTCAAAATTATTCTCAAGCTAGTTTCGAGCTTAACTCTTAACGGTTCGAAGTAGTTAATCTCTCTTCCAAAGTCTGGCAAAGCCGTCAAGTCACCAACTGTCCTATGATAATTTCAGCTGGTGCAGTCATTTAATAATCTGACTTAAACAGTTAGCCTAAGTTAGCATGTAATTTACATGTCAGAGTTTGTAGTCACATCTGAAAGCTATTTGTAAAGCAGAAGCTTAGGGTTAACATGTTCAAAACAACTTATGCGACCACTTCCATTAAACTCGATTAAATTAATGCATTCAAGAGAAAATACAAACCGGAATTTGTAGCTGAAAGGCAGCAAAGTGAATTAAAGCTGATGTCGCTACGGAAGATTCTGGGTATTAAGTTACATGAATAGTTTGCTCTAAGTCACCACGGACTTGTTGCTTTTGCAATATTAGATAAGACCCTTTCTGTTGCACACAGACAAATTTTCAGTTAAGGGGTAGTTTGGTGGATATTAAAGCATGCAGCAGTAATAAAGAAACAAAATGATTGCACTTTCTAAAGCACGGAGTAAATTGTTACTGTCAATTGCACTTTCTAAAGCACGAAGAAAATTGTAACTGTCAATTGGTCACCTTACTGTTAACTGGCCTTTATGAGGGTAGGTTAATATTAATAATCGCAGGTTTATTGACTAGATTTGAATATCCTCACTGCTGTACATAAGTCTTCCCTAAGTATGGAATCAAATCAAATAAGATAAATAGGCTATATCTGCAAACTAATGGATGATAATTACTGCAGATGCAGCTGAGACCTAAATAATAATCTCTAAATAATACATTTTCGGCCACCGATCTTGTGAACGGCAGTTACGAAAGATATTTAACTTCCGCATCGCAGATCGAACCACTGCATTGAGCTGCTTAATATTTCTTTTAGATTCAAAAAACAAATACGCTAGGAATAAAGGAGGGATTAATTATTTATTTTTCGGAATACATAAAGCTGAACAATGAAAATTTAAACTACTTAACAACAAAGACTCTATTATTATAGTTAGTAATGGAGTAGGTAAAATTTGGAAATGTGCATTACACGCCTTAACCATGAGAGCGCTGCATTCAAATCTAATGAATACTACCACATTAGTATCTACTAGTCCTCAAAGACCATACTAATTATATTACGTACAGGCGAAACCAAGTTGGTGTCAAAGAGATTTAATTTTGCCTGCCTTGATAGAGCATCAAAATTGTAACGTGCTCACTTGAGACATGCATTCTGCCGATAGTTTAGAAACGGGAGGTACCATAGGGACATATAAAAGCGGATTCAATCTGTAGGATTCCTGGAATAATTTTGATCGAAATTTCAGAATAATCCATAGCACTATATGTAAACTTCATTAAATATGTCTGCAATGTCATGAAGCGACCAATTGGAGCAGATGATGCTGCTGCTAATTAGTCATACTTTTGGCAGCAGGGATTCCGATTTCGATTCGTTTTAATTGAAAATCAATATTGACTTCTATTTCAATTTGATTTTTGAAACGATTTTTTTCCACTCAGATTGATCTCAAGATCCTCGCAAAACGAATGGTTATTACCCAATAATTTAAATAGATAGATACAAGAAGAATAAATCGATTTTCGATAGATCGATATTCACCCGAATCTATATTAAACGCTGCAATTTGAATCGATACCTATCTTCTTTTTGATAATGCAGTCATCCAGCTTAGTTTAAACGCAACGAAAAAAACTAATGTCCTGATAATTATGGCTATTCAACACTCAGGATGATTCGCATGCCATGTGCATTATTTTTTCTATTGCAGTGAACAACCGATCTCGTGCCTTCACAATAAGTGGCAACAGCAATGGTCCAGTCAACGCTATGGTTGGCTCTGGCCCCACCCAGAATAACTGTGCCAATGATTGGCTGTTGGTCCCATGCGCGACTAATGTTGGCCGCATACAACCAGCACAGGCACTCTGCACTGATAGAATATGCGGGGGAACATTCTCCGCTGAATTATCTATGACCCCAGCGACTGTTTTGAGTAAGTAATTTTACGTATTCGTACATGAGTAAATGACGCTAGGTATAGTTGATTATAGCACTGTCGTTACCAACCATACCTAAAGTTTCGGGAATGCTCTCCGCTAAGTTCTTGCACAACATTTGTCACAAATCTGAAACAAAGAAGACGGAGTCAGACCTTACACAATATAGTAAATTAATATCTGAACGGGAAATAAAGAAAAGATGCTGTAGATGCCTGGGTAAAAAAACGAAATTGTATTTAGTCTGTCAGTCTGATAAAATTCTATGTATTTTTACATAAAAAATACATAGATACGTATTTTTTGCTTCCATTTGACAGGAAATAGCTTACATAATAATTGACTACGTCACAACTTTGTAGAAAATGTACAAATGAGTAACATCATGTGATATTTTTACTCAATGAATGTAATGCTGTAATTTATTGATTACGCAAGAAATAAAAGAATACGTGTTTTATATTCTTCAATATTCTAACTGATCGACAAACAAATAAAATAAAAATAAATAACTTATATTTACTGCGAGACCCGCGACGTCTACAATATGAATCAATCGATCATTTATTGCATAAAATATGGTGCGGGTATAACAGATGTCATAAAATAAGAGTATCACATATTAATTGTATGACAGTGTGCAAGAGTTTTTCTTATGTAAAATAATATTACATTTAATTTATAATTAATTTCATTTAATTTACATTATAACCTATTCATGCATTAACCTTATTATTATTTTTTTCGCACATCATTGACTCAAAACATTTGGTACAGTTCCTATTACATATTATTTCAGTCTTATAATTTAAAGACATTAAATAGCAATTATCCCGGAAGAAAATCAATTTACATGTTACTATAATAATAAGTCACGTATGCTCAATATATAAATATATGTGAATTACACAATAATTTCATCATACACATTATAAAATATGTCATTGTATATAATATAACGTCATTAAGTCTACCAAAATTGTTTGCATTCCAAATATTCCTGTATCGAGCAAAACTATTTGTTTAGAATATTAACAGTTTTGTAAACAACTGTTAACTCGATGAGGGAAACTGAACAACATCAGACTATTGTTTGTTGTTTGCATCCGATAAAGCAAACGTAAATTTAATTATTCAGTTCCATGCGATGCAACTTACAATGAATAGTTCAATAACTCAATCAAAGTCAGGAATGTACGAGTATATAAATCTATAACGTTGAAATACAAACAACCAGGGAGAGGAACAACAACTAAATGAAGTTGGCGGATACAACGGCTCTGTTGAATCGGGCAACTATTCAGTCATAAGTTAATCTTGTTCTCATAAATTTAAAATTTAACATCAAAGCAAGCATTTTATTAAATTTCTTAAAAGTACAACCTGTTATAGAAAAATATTGATTATTTACTAATAATAGATATCAAAAATTGAAAACTCGATAAATGAAATCAGAATCATTAGAGAACTTTGAAATTCGGACGGTACTCACCGCTGTATGCAAATGTCAATTAATACGCTCCGTTTTGTCCGACACTCTCATTATTTCTGTCACAATTAAATATTAATCCAGTAACAAAACTTTATAAGACAACTAAAGAGTATTTAATTGAAAAACTTTTTTTTGCAAATATCGTCTTAGTATCAGAAGACATAACTAAAACTTATGTAAGTGAGAATTTATGAAAGAAATATGTATGTAAAGATCATGTGTTGTGTCATTTTCAGCTGTCTTAGTATGAGCATTCTTATTACAGAAATACTTTTTTATTTATTATATATATGAAGGTAACGAAAGGCTATTTATACGCGATAAATTGATACTGTCCCACTCATGTTTCAGCGGTGTAAGTGAGATAGTATTACGTGCTTTATAATATATTGTCACAAATTGCATGATATGTGGTGCTCATACTACGGGCAGGTACCCCGTGAGGGAAGACATGATGATCTAAATCAATGGTTATCAACCTTTTTGTTACCATGTCAATTCGACGAATTTCTATCTTGACATGGACCATCCGTAATACTTTATTATTATGTATGTATATAACTAAAAATAAAATCTCCGCTGTACAGACCCACTTGAGATGGTCCCAAAGACTACCAACAGTCCACGGACCAATTATATTTCTCTTTCATACCGATTACAAATGCATTGTATCGATAAATTCAATAAAGTCTGAATATATTGCGCGCTCTGACACGCACAAATGGAAAATACGACGAAACGGTCATATGAGTAAATTAAATTTTATATCTATATTTATCACAGATGCATACGGACCAATATTTTTTATCCCACAAGTATATAATTATTACAAACGCTTTTATTCATATTGACATGATTTTCTTTTATTGTGAAATTCTCAAAAAGAATACACTACTAATTCCTCAATAACGGTGATGGTCTAAAACTACTACATCCCTAGATACCATTGATGTGACAAGAACATGTTCCTAAAATTAACTTATCCCACAAGGGGATAGATCGGTCGCCAACTAATTTTGGTAGCTAGGATACCTAACAATTTCCGACACCGACTTTTTTAATCTTATTTCTTTCAGGCATCAGTCGTTTTTATCCTGTTCCACATCAGTGGGGCCAACAATAATCTGATGATGATTTGAAAATCTCATTTGATGATCATACCCAAAAAGAAATCCTAAAATTAGAAGCCCATTCGCGGATAGACAAAGACGATCGAGTCGCCGTATACAGCAGTTGTAATCAAAACTAATATTACAAAAGTCTATATCAAATGCGGCAATACTGAAGTCAGAGCAAATATATTTATACTCGGTCACCTGCATAATAAATGGATTGGGTTCCACGCTTTTAAGGTCTACCCGATTAATTCCTGCCCAGAATATATTTATAGACTTATGTATACATTTGCATTCTGTTTCTATATTTTGTACCAGCTAGAATTTTTGTTTAACTTAAAAACATTTGCTTTTTTATCAAAACGTATATTAATAAAATAGGTAGGTAAATAGGTTTGTTTTGATAACACAAATATATCTCTTTATTTCCTATTTATGTCGCACCAAAACACAATAACAATACGCAAAACATTTAAAATTCAATTGATTATACTTATTATTTGTAGTAGCTGGTAACCTATTTTTATATACGGCAACCTTAAGCAACTTATTAATATTAAATTGATTGTAGACGTATCATAACGAAAAAAATGACAATAAATGTTTAATGATATGAATGATGCAGGATTATTAATTATATATTTAAGTCATATTGATGTTCTCACCGCAGGCCTTCCCTAATAATGGAAATAAACCATAATCCACTAGGCAGATCCATTGTGGATTGTTAGCTGTTATCAACAACAATTTTTTTTTTATAGGTACGGTGAAGCCTTTCAGACTATGGTTTCATGCTGACAACGTGGAGGCTCCAGTGGACATCGACAATAGAGGGTTCTGTCTCAACTACATACAACAGCCTTGCACAAATAATGTTATGTAATTTTTAATAACGTAACCGTAATACAATAAGGTTTATTAAAGATAATTTAATAACAAAACTTATTTGAATTAGTTATTTTGTTTGATGCTCGGTTTCTTAGGGTTTCGTGGTCTGAACAAGATTAGGAAGCGCTGGACGTAGCATTTCTGTAGTGTTTTCAATATTTGAATAAAATCTGGTTCAAGTTGCGTGAGATGATTTAATTTTTAGGAGTTTATCTATAACAATAAAGTGTATTATATTAAGATAAATTTTCAAGGCCCCGATTCAAATCATCGGAGATTGCATCATTATCAATCACAATGCAAGTTATTTATAAAATGTGACGCTTGAAAAAAACAACTTTTAAATAAATGAGTTTACGATGATCTATTGTTTTGAATAACAAAATTAAATGGCAGATCAGTTAATGAAGCATAGGAATACCTTAGGAATAATTATATTGTATTTTTAGATTTTTTTTAGAATCACATACGTGAAGATTATCTTTACATCAGAGGCAGTGTGAAATCCTGCCACCGTAATATCAAAAATTATTTAAAAATGCATCTCGAAAATTGATAACATTTCGTTTACGGAAAAAATTCCGTCAGGTGTAACGTAAATTCGTAAAACTAGTACAAGTTAAAATTGTAATAAAGTAACAAAAATATATCAGTACTAAGCATACGTGTTTTAGATAAGAAGTATTTTAAGTTTGATCTTATTAAAGCAAAAATAAATATTGTTAATAAAGTATCTATAAATAATAACATAGATGTAGTTTTCTTTTTAGACATCCAAATTCTCGTGATCTACACTAGTTTTTGTCTGTCTCGTGATTGATCCCAAGTTTTATTTTCGTTGATTAAAATAAATTCCGTTGAGTAAAATAAAAGAAAAACATTTCTAGGACTCGAAAAGGTTTGTGAATCTGAAATGTATGCACGAAAACTAACAGAGTGGTGCTTTATGGCTTCACTGAATATGCTAAAGAGCGGGAAAATTACTTATATTGCAGGCTCACTAAACTTTTTCAAGATACCATGCATATAGACATAATAGGCTATATAGAAGATATAAACAGAGTAGGAAGAAACAATGGCAAATATAGATCGCTTGTAATAGAGTTAACTATGCGTTAATACGGAACAATAAGTTATACGGTAAGAGATTCGACATGGGTGACGTGATTGGCAGCAGTCAAGACAATACTAAAATCCACAATAAGCCACAGATCAAGACCGCAAATTACAATGAATATAAAGCCAACCAAGAAGACGAAAAACGAAAGAAGACGAAAAAAAAAGAAAAAGTACTGAATCATTCCTTTCGAAAGCAAAGACCAACAATTTAATATAATTTTTCAGAACATGCAAAGTCTATGTAATTAATTACATATTTTAGAAGCGTTTATTTCGCAAAAGCCAGTATATACGGCTATATACGTTTCTGAATCCTGGGTAAACTCTGAAAAAATAAACGCTATTCCAGTAACCGGCTATGAAATCGTCTCTTATTTTTCCCGAGCAAATCGACTAGGAAGCGGCGTGTGCATCTTGCTTCAGGATCATATACAACACTCGGATATCAGTGAGATCTCGGCTATGTCAATTGAATTTGTTGTTGAATTTTGTGCATGCCAATTACTTAAAAAAAATATATTGTTAGTAGTTGTCTATTGGAATAGTAAAGAGGAGGATTTATTCTTAAATCAAATGAAACTCGTTTTAAAATATATTAATAATAAGCATTCTAAATGTAATGTAATTATTGGTGGAGATTTTAACTTAAATATTCTAAACGATAACTTAAAGACTAACCGATTCTTGCAACTCATGTTGGAGTACAGATTTGTTCAGCATATTCAAGAACCAACTCGTATAACACCTGTTAGCTCCACGAGCATAAACTTAATATTTACAAATTTTGATGACTATAAATTAAAAACAACTGTAGAATTTGGTTTCACTGATCATAGCGGAGTAACCATACATTTGAAAATTCCGCAACACACTAAACCGATTATCTGGAAAACTACTAAAGGAATATATAATGAAATTAACATGCAAAAATTCAAATTTAAATTAAACACTCTTAAATGGAATGACATATTGTCGCCAAATAGAAACATAAATGAAAATTATAACGCTTTTAGTAATACCTTAACAAATATCCTAAATGAATGCATACCAATCCGTCAAATAATATTAAAAATACAACAAAACAACCACTGGTTAGTGGCGGGCATCAAAGTCTCATGCAAAAATAAAAGATTATTAAAAATACTCACATATAAATCAAAAAATCCGTTCCTAACTCAACATTATAAGGCATATGAAAAAATATTAATAAAGACTGTATCAATATAAATTTTTTTTTATTATATTATAAAAATAAAAACTAAGTGGAACGTCATAAATGAAACTACGAATAAGAAAACGATAAAAGAAAAATGTAATATTAAATTACATATAAATAATTGTATATATATCTATCGGGAAAAATAATGTTGTAAGAGAGCTAACTGGGACTCTCATTCTTCACCAAACTGAAAATACAATGTTTCTAACTCCAGTTGACCCCTACGAGATAAATAAAATTTTAAAAATTCTTAAAAATAATAAAAGTCACGGTATCGATGATATTCCTCCTATTCGATACAGACACTATTCTACCTTTCTATAAATTAATAAATCATACGTTTGAAGAAGGCGTTGTTCCCGACCTATTAAAGCACGTGTTGGTAAAACCGATTCATAAAAAAAAAAACTCTAATACTGACCCTTGCAATTACAGATCCATAGCCCTCCTACCAACTTCATCAAAGGTTTTAAAAAGGCCATGACTGATCGTGTATACTCTTTTTGCGAAAAATACAAGATATTTGACGAAAGCCAAAATGGCTTTCGCAAAAATAAATCAACTATACTAGCAGTTTACAAATACATTCATGAAGCACTTAATATAATAAACAATATGCAATAGGCATATTATTGGATATGTCCAAAGCCTACGACAAAGTGCAATTTAAAATATTGTTAGATAAAGTTGCACGGAATAGGCATACGAGGAAAAGCTCATGAATGGCTCACATCATACCTAACAATCAGGAGTCAAGTAGTAGAGATCGAATTTTTCAATAACAATTCAAGAAAAATAGAAAATATCCGCTCCGAATATAAAGAAATAAATGCCTCAATTCCTCAGAGTAGCGTTATAGGATGTTTATTATTTCAAATTTATATTAATGATTTACCTAAAATTATAAAGGACCCGTGTGTCTTGTTTGCTGATGATATCTCATTGCTTGTGGCGAGTAACAACAACCAAAATCTAAATGAAACATTAACTTCTACTCTTACGAAAACAATTAGTTGGATGAATTTACACAACCTTGATATAAACATCACAAAAACTAAATTAATATCTTTTTATCTCCATCAAAAACGCCAATAAGCATTAATTTTAGTTAAGAGAATAAACAAATAGAGGTTATGAACGAGGTTACCTTGCTCGGTGTAACAATAGATACCCATATAAATTGGAAACCCCATATTAAGAAATTACGTGATAAGATATCGCGATTCTCGTATGCCCTTCAAGAAATCAAAAAGACGACAGACTTGTACACAGCTGTAATGACTTATTATGCTTATGCATACTCTTGGCTGAGTTATAGTATAACATTGTGGGGAAACAGCACAGAAGCACCTTCTGTTTTTAATTTACAAAAAAAAAAATAGAATCATAGCAAATATTGATGAAACTATCTCTTGTAGGCCTTATTTCCAAAAATTTGAAATTTTAACCTTACCGTGCATATACATATTAAAACGATTTCTAATTTGCAAAAGCTATTAAAGTCAAAATGAATATCTAGACGACAATATTAAAAAAAAATACTACATAAAAATGAGTACATATTACGTTTGCAAATTAATAGAATAAAAATAATCGGACAATTCAATAAAAAACTTTAATAGAGTTAAAATTTTAATAGCAATAAATAATATAGTTTTAAATTAATAATTAAAATAATTAAAGTAATAAAGCAATTACGGGAAAATAAAATATGTACTATAAATGAAATCTTTAATTTAAAATTCCTCAATAAAACAATTTTAGTTAAAATAATAATAATAATGACCAAATGACATAAATTAGCAAATTTTAGAGAAACAAATTATATTTTATATTATAACAACAATATTAAATTAATTGCAAGTCAATCAATCAATTGTATACAAATAATATAAAATTAGCTTGTTTTGATTTATATTTTTAAAAACATTATCTGACTATTAATTATAATTATTAAACTTACCATTTTATTTAATTTTTGACGATGTAGTAGTAATGTGTTTATTAAATTACATTATATTTTATCGACAATATTAAATTAAATACAAATCAATTTCATACAAATGATAATATTACAAAATATTATGAAATTTATAAATTTGTCTTATTTTATTTATATGTATATTATATTATTAATAAAATTATATGACTGTTAATAATAATTAATTAACGTATCATTTTATTATATATTTTTTTTGTCTTTGATTTTGTAGAATTATGATTATTATTAAATTGCCAGACCACTTATTTTATTTTTGATATGAAGTCCTCCTCTCTCTCTAGTCTCTCTAAAGTGTTGCTGTGCCCGACGGGGTCCATAGTTTGATACAGGTATTATTATTTTGTAACATCAATGTAACACAATGGTTTTACAATAAACATTTGAGTATTTGAGAAATACTGTTTGTAGCAGACTGTTTACGCCTGCGATGACATATACCTACAATTGAAAGGTGTCTTTCCCCAAAAATAAAACTTTAAGTGTTTTTATTTCAATTAGCATTTTTATTAAGCAATATTTTTAAGCTTGCCTAATTGGTACTCTCTATTGAGAGCATAGGTGATTGTGAATAAAAAAAAGTACTAAGTCAGGATTGCTCATTAAAATAAGGAATACACACAACAAAAAACAAGATCCCTTTCATCTGACTATTAATGTCCTCAAAGCAAGCTTCTCTTTGGAAAGTAATTCAACTAACGTACCTACTGGTAAGAGGAAAATCTGAATAAGACCATACTAGATATGTGAAAATTAATAGTACACTTTACTTTTACATTTTCCCTTTCAAAAAAATTGAATTAAATCAACAACATGAATTAAAAATTATGAGCAGTAAAAAGTATTAAATATCGTTACTGGCCATAGTGGTTAGGGTAACTAGAAAAAAAAAACATTTCCAAGCAATATTGTGTGACATATCAGTGTGGGTGGATTGCTAAGATATGATTATTTTTATAATTTTAAGTAGTTGTTTAAAATTTAACATTTCCAATTGTGTTTCCACACGAGTTTTTTTAGTTATTGAATCTTGGTAGAGTTTGGTACCTACATTATTTCTACATATATTAGACGACAATAAACACTTAAATTCACAAGCAGAGATTCCATAAAAATGTCGACTATTTTCGGGCTGAAGCACACCTTCTAAAGAATTTCTATATCATAAAATTTCATAACCATATTCGAAATATAAATTACGAAAGTGGAACGAATTGTAACATCCAACTAACTTCTATGTAAGTAACGAAAAATGTGTTGCGATGTATATATCTTTAATGGAATGTGAAACACTCGCATGTAATGCGGACTATGCATTTGCAAAATCCAATCCGGAATACATTTACTGCATAAAATATTGGTCTACAAAATATAAGATGGAAATAACATTGTAACATGATATGTTTGCATATAAAATTAAAAAAAAATCTGATTGAGTTTGTAAAATTTAAAAATTATATTCGTATACATTAGTAAAAGTACTCATACTTATACTTAATATTTCTTAGCGTACTTTAAAGTTTATTTAGCGCATTGAGGTTTTGTAAAAGAAGATAACTTTGTGGATAATCTTCACATCATCACCGGATTTTTTACGTCTCGACTACAGGGACTCAGGCCTTCCTTATGGATTATTAATGAGGATGAGCTATAACGTAGGCCTACTACGGATTGGAGGGTATTAACGACTGACCAACAACAACTTCAAAATAAAATTATAATTTTAATTATTCGGTAAACATAACAAAATAATCTTATTTACTTTTTAAAGTTCCTTTGGATCGTCCAAACATTTTTTACCTGCAACATTATTTAAGACGATTTTTGACTGTTATCAGCAACGAAAGCGAAAAGGAAACCAGCTATTATAGAAGTAACTACCTACATTTACAATTGTTTTTGTAACAAACAATTGACTTTCCAAATCACATTCCAATTCAATAAATACCGCAAAATAATTTAAAAAACCTATGTTTTTAAAACGGCAATGTAATAAAATATCAAAATATCAACTTCTAAATTGGTACTGATATAGAAATATATAAAAAATCCTTTACATTGTTTTGTTGGCATATTCAAATTACCTTAAAAAACAGCCGCCATTTCAATTACAATGGACCGACAAAGGCGCCTGAGTGCGGAAAATTAAGGCCCTAACCTAGTCTTAATTATTGTCTATTAACTCTTTGCAGCATAAAGTGTTCCAATTATATACTAATATTTAGGATTTTTATGGTAAGCTTTCCTTGACAAATAAATACTTAAAAACCCTTTAAAATATTTTAATTAGAACAGCATGAAATAGGTAAAAGTCTTCTGAACTATTTATAACGATAAATTTAATTTCTATGAATTATTATTCTTCAACAACCCTACAGACGATTTTGCGAATAATATTTTCATTTGAGTGGCTTGCATCAGAACCTCCGCAGTTTCCTGTGAAAGCATCGCTGCAAAGACTATTACGAAGTTCCTAGAACAAGTTTCAAGGGATTAAGTCTGGTATCGATTTGAGAAATAAGTTCTTTTTCCGATTATTATGAACTCTATTAAGATTTTATATGTACTTTTTTATCGTAATAACTGTATGCTACTGCTGTTTCTTTATAAGTTTTCTTATTAGATAATTAACAAATTATCTTTGTCTTTGATGCATTATTCGGATTAGTATGCTACCTCAATACTTAACTTAAACCTGAAAATAATATAAGTTTTTACTAATTCGTCTAAGTGTGTGAAGCGTTTTCAAATTAAAATAAAAACTGGCTCAAGTTCTGTGAGATGATTTAATTTTTAGATGTTTATCTATAAGAATAAAGTGTATTATTTTAAGATAAATTTTCAGACCCCGATTCAAATTATCGGAGATTGCATCATTATCAATCACAATGCAAGTTATTTATAAAATGTGACGCTTGAGAAAAATAACTTTTATATAAATGAGTTTACGATGGTCTATTATTTTGAATAAAAAAATTAAATGGCACATCAGTAAATTAAGTATAGGAATGTATCTAAATTAAAGGAATATGAAAGGAATCATTATAGGTATTGTCCTCGAACGAACATTTCAAAAGTTTCAAATCTTTCTTATATTTTTTTTAGAATCACATTCGTGAAGATAATCTTTATATCTTTACATCAGGAGCAGTGTCAAGTCTTGCCTCCGTTGTATCATAAATTATCTAAAAATGCATTTTTGAGTCCTATTAGCATTTCAAAAATTGACAACATTTCGTTTACCGAAAAAAATCCGTCAGGTGTAATGTTAATTCGTAAAAATAGTAGAAGTTAAATTTGTAATAAAGTATCATAAATATATCAGCACTAAGCATACGTGTTTTAGATAAGAAGTATTTTAAGGTTGATCTTATTAAAGCAAAAATAAATATTGTTAATAAAGTATCTATAAATAATAACATAGACGTAGTTTTCTTTTTCAATTTTAGACATCCAGTTTTTTAAGTTTATTTAACAATACATACTAATTTGTACACATGGTACATGATTCCCCTGTCTCGATTCGCCTAAAACCCATATTACGCTTTTGAAGTCGGTTTTATTTCCTTATCCTCTAAACTAAGACCATCTAAAAAGACTATTATAATGAAAAATTACTATATTTCTATCGCCTTATCAATTAGAAAAGTTTGTTACAAACGCTTGTTATTTGTTACTGTTGAGTAAAATAAAAATAAAGAAACATTTTTAGGACTCGAAAAGGTTTCTAAATACTGTTTGTAGCAGACTGTTTACGCCTTTTACAATTGAAAGCTTTTTACAATTGAAAGGTTTCTTTCCCCAAAAATAAAACTTAACTTTTTATCGTAATAACTATATATGAGTAGCTCGGTGGCGTAGTGGATAATCGTAGTCTTAAAGCAACTTTCACAAGGGTCGGTCATGGGATGGGTGACCAAAAAATTATTATCTCGAGCTACTCCGTGCTTCGGAAGGCACGTTAAGCTGTTGGTCACGGCTGCATTTGCAGTCGTTAATACCCTCCAGTGCGCATTGGGCCAGCGTGGAGGGTCATGGCCCATCCTCCTTAACCATCCATAAGGAAGGCCTGAGCCCCTGCAGCAGGGACGTAAAAGGGCTGATGATGATGATGATGAACTATATCCTACTGTTGTTTTCTTATAATTTTTTTATGAGATAATTAATTGACAAAATTGTCTTTGTCTTTGATGCATTATTCGGATTAGTATGCTACTTAAATACCTCAAAATAGAACCTGAAAATAGTATAAGTTTTTACTTATTCTTCAAATTATATAATTATAAAGAAATACTATCAGGTTGAATCAGCGTGATAGCTACTTTTGTAGTGTACAAACTGGAACAAAAAGTAAACCTCAATCACTCGCAAATACAAGCTACATTCCTCATGTAGATGTTAATATGAGATTCTCTGAGAAAAGGTCCTAAATTTTTCCACTAGTTTTTATGCATAGGTGAATAATAATGGAACTTATGGGACTTATGTAAATGATTATAGTACCTTTTTGTACAAAAAAGTACTATGAGTAAATAACAAAACGTAAATAACACTGTTTTTCAATAAGAATTATTATGATTCTGGGTGATACTTTATCCATATATTTAGGTATATTTAGCTCGACAAAACGTCTTAGTAGAAATATCAAAGTTATGACAAATATATATTATATCGCTATCAAATACAAAATATCATCATCATCATCATCATGATGATGATGATGATATATAAAATATATATATATATATATGGAAAATATAAATAACTTCAATTGGGAAAGTTTCGTAAAATATTTTTCTATCTAACATTGTTAAAAATAAATCATACCCCCTTTTTAGAGATTAATTTGTTCATCAAAGGGACTTAGGTACATCAAGTTTTTGTCATAATAAATACTTTCTAGAAAAGGCGTTTACCAAAGATTATATAATTAAAAAAGTAGGAACACTCAAGCATGTGTGCCCTTGCACCGGTAAAAGAGCTTGCGGTCGTGTGCGTGAGAGGCTGGCGAGAGGCGTGGGGACACAGACTGGTAGATATAGTGGTATGTCGACAAGGGATACTCAGTACTCACTCGATTCGCTGTTCTGCGCGACTTTTTGTGCCAACCTTTTCCTGTAAAGTCAATATCGCTAAGCTCACATGTGAAGATCCTCTTACTGCTACACCGTAATAGTTTCAGCAATGAAAACGTTTTCCCTAAACAAAATACCCGCGCACTTTATACTGTCAAAGCACATCACAAATTTAGAGTGCAAAATTAATATTAATATACCAAAGAGTCTACTGAAATAGTTTATAATGGCATACGATGAAATACAGAGCCCTTACTAAATGTTACTGTATCGAGCAAGAATATTATTTCTTTTACTTTAATGTTACTTGCTATAGGACTACAGAGTATATTTTTTTACATAATAGGTGTTATATGTGTCTTTACCAAACCAAGTGTTTTTTTAAGAGACTAGAGAGAAGTCCATATTCTTTAACTTATTGACCCAACCGAGAATCGATCATGGGATCTCGGAGATTGCCATGCGTTAAAACCAGGGTACGAGCCAGTGAGGAAGTATTTTAAGAAAAAAAAAGAAAGCACTAAAAAGCACCTCACTAGATGGCGACTCTACAAAAAGTTGATTTTTGCAGGAAACGAATGGACCAAAGATAGTCATTTAGATTCCTTTGAACTAACTTAAAAAAAAGAAAACTGAAATTTGCATAAACTGAAAATACAATATGAGTTGTTTATTGAGTTTTGAAAATTAATTTACTTTTATACATAAAAGAAAACTGGTAGGGTTGTCATGGAGAAACCAAAAAGTACAGTAGCGACATCTAGTTTGATTTCAGGAACTAATGTTATTATTTTAATTACTTCCTCATTGTCTTCAGGTTGGATGATTGAACATGGCATTATTCGACCACAGGCATATACTAAGTTTCGTTTCTTTTTTAAATAAGATCTCACCCTCGCTTTCTAATGTCTTGAAGTGGATTGCAGTGCTATTCTTCAATAAAATCAGCATGGAACTTGACGTCGAGCATCTACTTAACCACATAGGTTCGATCATATAAAAGCTACTTCTAATATGATAAAGATTCGAAGTTCAAGTCCGAGTTCGAAGTTTTTTTTATTTAAGACTAGTGGCCGCCAGCGACTTCGTCCACGTTTTCCATAATTTCTTCGCTCCTAATAGTTGCAGCGTGATGTTATATAGCTTAAAGCCTTCCTCGATAAATGATCTATTCAACACAAAAATAATTTTTCTATTCGAACCAGTAGTTCCTGAGATTAGCGCGTTCACACAAACAAACTCTTCAGCTTTATAATATTAGTATAGATATCCTAAAATTTTTGCGAATAGTTACTGTGCAAGGATACGTTGATAATAGAATAGGTTTTCTTTTACCAACTAAAAACACAGAGTAGAAACTCACCACATGGAGGACAAAGCTGTTATACAGTAATGCTTTTTATCCACGTTATATTTTTATATATCACCAGGTTCACCGACAGCTTTTTAATAAAATTAGCTTAAAAGTCCAGTAAATCAGAGTGCACACAGGTGACCACGTCTGTACCTCCACCGAGATAACACTTCGTGTCTTACTTATTACTCGGAGTGAACAGGTGTCTGGATTACGGACACTTTGATGTCAAAGGCAAGTAAATTAGGTTAATGGCTGAAATGTCACTATTTATCTGCGGTCAGTGTAACCTCGGCATCCTCACAGTATGCTTTGACTGTCTGACTGTTTATTATCTACATTTGCACATGGAATGTTTTGTTGCGGAGCGCAACGAGGCGACGTTTCATCTACCTGTTACTAGATGGCATTACGTGTAATTTGAATCGCACTAACACTGTCAATATTTTTATTCGAAACACTAAATCGTAACAATACTAAGAATGATTAAACAGAATTTAACTCTTTCCCTCTTAACGCATTTTTTTTATTAAAAGACTCTCAAAGGAACAAAATTATACTTGGATTTGGACAAATACAGAAAAACTAAATTTTAATGCACATTCCGATTAAAAAATACTTTTTAATTTACTCAGGCACAAGGCCGTGTTATTTTAAAACACTGCGCAGGAGTGGGGATGAAAGGTGAGAGGGCGGGCAGTCTCGTCCCCCTTTCCCCCGACGAGACGAGGATGCCTGAATAAATCCGGCTAAGCTTCCGGCTGCATTTACAGTCGTTAATACCCCCCAATCCGCATTGGAACAAGGTGGAGGTTGGCCCATCAACATTATCGACCAAATGTATTGATATGGAGTTATTTTATTGAGCTTATTCGTAAATGTTTACTGTATATTCGTATATAAATGGTTTTGAAGACTGTAATAGTATAATAGTCAAGTAGTCCAATATAGATTAGTCTTGGATTGTACGACGTCTAATTTCTTTTTTTTATATTTTAACGACGAGTGTATGACCCACGGTTTAAACATTCATAATTGACAAAACATCACTTACAGTAAAATAAAATTGGAAACAAGACAGTTTCACTGTCAATCCTATCTCTTCCCAGATGTTGCCTCGTCTTTGTATAATTTAAATTATGCAGTTCTTTGTATCTTTTGACTTAATAATATTAAAATTTAATCATTCATTATAATAATACCGACGGCTCTGGGAGATGCACAAAACGTAGTGTATATATTGTTTTTGCATGCACATTTTTTTCTGTATGAGATGCAGTAGCGGACTAACCTCGTCGGGGATCTAGGGCGGAATCAGGTTCGGACCTACAACTTCTTCCAACCAGGGCAGAAATTTTACGCCTACTAATACTATGAAACTGGACATAAAAAAGATAAGGCTGTACAACCCCAATTTATTATTTGATCAAGGGAACTTGCAGCCATTTGGAGGCTGGACAGGTCTGGGTTTCTTGTATCTTCATACAGATTTTTAAAATTAAATCTTTTAGTTATATCTTTTTGAAATCAATCGCAATCAAATTATTCTTCAATCGCAGCAAGTGTTTTAAATAATGTATGTAAATCATACTTATCGGATAAAACTGGCTATAAAATTGAAACTAAAACTGCTAACAAAAAACCAGTGTTATTTTTATAACCAGTACACTTAATTCAACCAAAAACACTGCAAAATATTTGAGTGCTGACCAGTGTTATCCTTGATAAATTCTCCAACTCATGATGCTATCCAATATGGGGTAATTATTTTTATTGATCGCAATATTATGGGCAAAGCTATTGCTATCAAAAAGCACCACGCTGTATAGTGTACAAATTCATGTAAAGATATGGAAGATACGTTGCATGTCGTGCAGCCTGTGCGTGCGTGCTGATAAAATGTACATTTACCAGTCCTTTAAATGAATGATAACCTCTACATCATGTCGGAAAAAAGCCGATGATTTTCAAGTAGCTGCACAAATATTCATAAAACATAGCTAAAAATACGCTCGATTCAGTTACTTTTCTAACAAAAAAAAAATTACCCAAATTGGTTCACCCGTTTGTGCGCTATCATGCCAAGGACAGAACGACATACACGTCTGTGTGTCTGTCATTCTGTGTACACACATACGTCAAACTTATGACACCCCTTTTTTGTGTCTGGGGCTAAAAACAAATATTATATTAGTACATTGCATTAATAAGCGGAAAAATAAGAAAGACGTGAAAATTCAAAATATGCATAAGATAAAATGAAAAAAGAGACAAATCCAAACAAACAAAAAGAAAGGACAAGAAACTGCAGATAATGAGAAATGAACAAATAGGTGCGTCATCTCATTACCTGTAACATCAAACTAAATATTAGCAGACCTTTCACATACGTCAGTGTGCTTACATTAAACTCCACTGAAACCTTTTAATGTAAACAACTGTAAATTATGATTTTGCTGTATGCTTCTCTTCTATATATACAATTCAAGCTTTGACAATTTTCCTTACTCGCTATTTTTAATTAATTAAAGCCATCATTCATTGCACCGAAGTGCACTTTGACAGTACATTTCTGTGATTATTTTTCAGTTGTTCTCTGCTTCACTGTCTATAATAAGGCGAAGGCAACTTTTAAAAGGCAAGCAGCTCTCCGTTAAGTATTGTTATCGGATGACAAAGACGCCCTTCTCGTTCATGCTACAAAATGGGACCACGAGGTTTTCCGTTTCAAGAGATTAAGGAGAAACTCTTTTAATTTCCTGATCAAAAGAGACAAAACACAAGTCCATTTAATTAACAAAGCACTAAAGTTGCACTAAGTTTTCGTAATGGCTTACAGCACTCAGTTGTAACAACACAATATGGACAACGAACTAAAAAGCCGTACAAAAGAATCATTCCAAACGGGTAAAAAAGACAAAATGCATTACTTATTTACATATGCAACGACAGGGACGGAGATACATAAACAAATAGAGATGGCAAATGAAAATATTTGCTTTTCCGTTAGTTTGGGACGTTAGCCGTTTTAACTTAATTGAGGACTACAAAAATCTTTTAGTAGGCTATGTTCTAACATTTGAAACATTCAGTGTTATACTTTAGAACTTTACACTGTGTTATGATAGTCCATTGAGGATTTTTAAGTTTTTGACGAAGTTTGTTTTTTAAATATCTAATAGTTTTTTGCCAAATATTATTAACTATGAATAAACATTTAACTCAACTACACTCACTAAGGATGAATGTTATTGAAGAAGAAACAATTTCAAATAAAAACCTGAAAGGAAAATTGACCATACAAGCTTCGCCACCCTTTTTCATCCCATTAGAAGATGAATTTTCGTTAATCCTGAAATATATCATTATATCATTCTTTTCTAACTAAGCAGCTCAAGTTTTATTAATTTAAGATCAATTCAGACAGAATTTCATACAAATTTACACCTCCTTTTTTACGCATTTAAAAACTGAATTTCCAATTTTATTTTTTCTTAGTGTTCACTTACATTAGAAAATAGCATTATACTAGTTTCATGTTTCTATCATAGTAATTTTATGAGCAATGCTTTGTTATAGCCGGTGGTCCACTCAGCCATTAAGTTAATTTTCCTTTTTATATATTTCTACTTAGCACAGAAATAATAATACTCTGGTTAACATAGATTAATATTAGTGTTTTATCAATAAATAAAGTAAGTAGATAATTATTAATGCGACAGAAATCATGTTAAAAGATTTTTCAATTATAATAACTATATACCTAAAATGTACTTTAAAAATTCTTTAAATTGTATACATTATAGTCTAATGCAGTGATTCCCTAGGTGGTCCAGGTGGACCCCCAGGGGTTCACGAGGGTTTCAACGGGGGTCAACGTTGGCGTGAAATAAAATAGGGGTTCACAAGTTGTTAGTGGGGTCCACGAAAATTTATTATTAATCTAATATTAAAATTATCTGGTTTCGATAGTAAAGAACAAAAATGTTGGCTTGGCTTTACCTACATATCAATGTGCAGGTAGGCGATAATATTGTAAGAAGGTCAGCGTGTGTTACTTGTAAAAACTTGCTTTTTCAATATTCAATACAACGCGTGTCGATACTTGCAATGCGCGGCCGCCGCCCACCCGCCCACTATGCTTTTTCAGCCGTGCACAGCTATGAAATACCACTTCTGCTATGTTTACAATCTTGTATGTACTTGTTTGATTCTTCACCAATATAAATACGAATGCCACAGACAAACGTTACGCATTTGTTTTCGGAATTTTGAAGAGAAAAGTGTGAGTGAATCTATGTCAGTGTTTGCCGGCCCCGAAAAAGTAAGTAACTCTCTGCCTATTTGATTGTAATAATATTACATTTGTTATGTTGGCGTGTAGTAGGTACGTAATTAAATACTGAAAAGGTCCATTATTCAATTCATTTTGTACTTTTGTACGAAAATGATGAAGACTTCCGGTGATTGCTTTTACACACTGAAGTACGCTGGTCGTTGAAAGGTGCGTGTTTAACAAGGTTTTACTTACTTTTTGAATCAATTTTAGAGTTTCTGGAAAGTTAAGATCCAGATTTAAAAGAAAACTCAATCAAATGGAAAGCAGACATACGTATTTGACAAATTTGTTCAAATAATTTAATGTCATTGAGTTGCAGTTACAAGGGGATAGCCTAAATTTAATAAAAACAAAGAGTGTAAATTCGGCTCTTCTTGGAAAATTGAAATTTATGAAGCAAAATATTAGTCAGCGCGAGTTTTCACAGTTTTCAAACTTGTCATATACAGCATTTCTTACGTTTAACATTTAATTGCGTTGCAGGATGAAATCAAAAACAGATTTGAAGATATTTTGATGATGGAAATACCACCATGGATCATAAATCCATTTGACGAAACTGAAGTGGCGGATGTGGTATTACAAGAGGAACTACTCGAGCTCAGCACCAATGAAGAACTGAAGGTGCAATTTAAAAAAGGCTACCAAAGATTTTGGCTGCAGGCAAAAATACTCGAAAAATATCGAGATAAATAAAGACAAAATTTTTGGTAGTGTTTCCCTCGTCAAACATTGTCCAAAAAATTTTAGTGTCGCTACAAACCTATTAACAAAAATACGGAGCAGATTAATCATCACAGAACGGGAGAACTTGCGGTTAATCCTTACAAATCTGAAGCCAAATATTGATAATTTGCTGTCTATCCATCAGAAAATATCCTCGACCGCGACGCCAATTCTTATCGTTAGATCTTCACATTTTGGACCTATTTTGGGAATATGGTAAAAATGAAGCAGCAGGGGGGTCCACCGAAACCAGTAAATTTTTTAAAATGGTCTTCGAGATAATATTGTTTGGGAACCTCTGGTCTAATGTATTTTATGTGTTATCCCATTAAAAATAAACAAAGTAATAATAAAATCAGCCTTCGATAATATTAGTATATATTTATTAATTATGTGCCTACAATTAATTTATTCGAGTTACTGCATGCCTATTATCAATAAAATACGATACTTTATGTTCCGTGACCTCTTTTGTAAACTTTACTTAAGAAATAATGTAATTTTTTTTTATTTTATGAGTTATAATAACGGCGGTACAAAGAATATATAATAAAATAATCAATCAGAATACTAGTGCCATCATGAAGAGCTATCTATCAGTTGGGCTCGAGAATATCTCTTAGAGAGAAATTTAAAGAAATGGAATATTTACGGTTGTATCTCAATTTATATATAGTTGTATACTTTTTATCCGGAACAATATTAATGTGTATACCAAACATAGTTAAGTACACAAACTTAACACTAGAAATAAAAATAAACTAGTAATGCCTTCTTACATGTTACAGAAGGTCTAAGGTTGTTTCATGGATCAAGGTATACAGTACCTTAACAAGATACCCAGAGATGTATTAGATTTGCCAATAAATCATTTTAAAAGTCATATTAAAAATCGCCTACAAAGTAAAGGATATTATGCCGTTAAGGAATATCTAAATGACAAAAAGGAATGGTGTTAGATCTTTTAACTTTATTGTATTTACTTTCTAATATTGTAATGGAAAGTGACTTCATATTTTAATGAAGTCACTTTTCAATAAGACTTCTTTGTGTGAAATAAAACAGGGAGAAAAAACAACCCTTGCCGAGTTTCTCGCCGGTTCTTCTCAGTACAAGGTCTCCCGCCGTAGTTTTGCGAACCGATGGCGTAGTTTTCGACTTTCACAAGTGCTCTGTAAATGCCTAAACTGAATAAATCAATTTTGATTTTGATCTATTAACAGTCAAATCAAATCGTGGATCTAAATATATAGATATATGAATCACAGATTATACATTTATTTTGCCTATATAATAATAAAATAAAAAAAACAAACGTGATTTTTTGCTCATTTATCATAGGTTTTTATTTTTAATATTATAGAAATAACGTCGATAACAGTAATTATATAATGGAGTTTCAATTGCCAAGAACGGGCTGCAACAAAAAAAGTGATACCAAAAAACGGTGAACAATTCAAAAGAGTTGTTTCCAATAATACTTATTCGAATAAAAACTATTTTGAATTTATTCGACAACGTTATCAAAGTCCAGGGGGCCAATTCTACTAAATAAATTTTGTTTAAATCGAATCGAAAACGGAACGAAACCGAACGAAACTACAACTTTTAGTGGTTTTCCTATTCTACTCGGTGTCAAAATGGCGTCAAACGGTACAGTTCCGGTTCTATTTTAGTTTAGCTAACCTTCGATCAACAGAAACTGTAAACGGTATTCTACTCGCTCAATCGAACATAGAACTATATAGATGTAGTTATGCAAACCGGAACCAACCCACAAATCTGTCAAAATCGAATTATGTGCAGAGAAGCCTAAAAGTGTTGCAATTAAACTCACAAGTTATAAATTCACAAAACTTCTTGATAAATAAATAAAATAAAATATATTCTATAGTAAATTATAACTAAAAACAAGAAACCCATTTTTCTCAAAACTGACATCATGTGGCTGGTTTGCATAACTACGTCCATATACTTGAGTCGATCGTCGGCCCTTATTCCACTAAAATTTTGACACTTCGTTGGATCGAAACGCTACTGAAACGTTACTAAATCCGAACGTTTCATCTGTCAAAATTAACGATTTCTAAAAAGTTGCAAATTTCTACTTTTTGATGATCGATAGTTAGCGTTTACTGATAGATGTGAAAAAATTTATATTATTTAAAATCTTAAAAGGTGCAATTAGGTATCCCCAATTGCTGAGTGAAATAAAATACCTTGATCCATCTTCAGAATTGATAATTAAAAACATTTTGCCCTACAACAGTAACTTCGGCAAACATATTTGTAGTGTTTGTATAGAAAAAGGTTTTATCTCGGTACATTGGAGAGCTGCGAAACGTGTTCTTCGGTACCTGAAGGCTACAAAAAATAGGAAACTGACCTATAACAATAGTGGTGATCTAATCGGATTTGCTGATGCCGATTATGGTGGTAATCTGGTGGACAGAGACGATCCTATACAGGATATGTTTTCCAAATGTGTGGTTCAGCAGTGTCATGGGAATCACGTAAACAGAGAACCGTTGCAACATCATCAACAGAAGCTGAGTACATGGCTCTAAGTGAAGCCTGTAAGGAAGCCATCTACATTCGCTCATTACTAAGCGACATCTTTTGCTTTTCGTCACCCATCACCATTAATTGTGACAATGAAAGTGCCATTAAATTAACAAAAAACAACACGATCACGCCCGCACAAAACATATTGATATTAGACATCATTTTGTTTGTGAGTCTATATCCACTAAACAAGTCAATGTGTCATTCATACCATCAGCTCACCAAACAGCAGACATTCTCACAAAGCCACTGCCTAAGCTGAGACACTATATGTGCCTAACTAATTTAGGATTAGTTTAGTGTTATTTGTTTTTGTGTTGTTAGGTTAATTAGGTTAGGGCATCAGTGTTAAGGTATTTTTGATATAGTGTTTTTGTACATACAGTGTGTTTATATAAAGGTTGTACATAAGTGTCCTGATTACGGGGAGGTGTAGATAAAACCTTTTTCTATATTAATCAGACACTGGCATCTTCTCATATACCTATTTGAATTAGTATTTTATACACTGTTTATTGTTTTTTATGTCACTCTCTTCTTTACTCTCATCTGACTTTTATGTATTTACAATGTGAAATATATTAAATACTCCAATCCACTGTGAATTCCTACATTTTAAGAGTTTGTGAGTGAGTTATCAATAGACTGTAAAGAACATAATAAGTTGTGTAAATCCATTGATATGTTTGCTTTATCATTAATTAATTATAAAAATACCTTATATTAAGGTACCAAATAATTGTAATCTTTAATTGTCTAGCACTTCAAGCATATCAAATTTTCTATCCAATATTATTTATTTCACAAAGATACAAGGATACTTTCAATGAGCACCCTGACGTCTGAAGTAAATATACAAAATCTGGGTATCAAACACCAGATTCCTCATCTACCTCATGAGAACATAGCAATCCATGTGATATAAATTATGTAAAATGACTAGAAAAAAAATGAAATCGAAAACTATGGAGCTAGATAAACAAGTGTGATAGTGCATGCATATGTTTAATAAACTTTTTATGTACACCATTTCATCTATTTGTTATAGATAGTTCTGTAATTTTAATTTTATTTGTGGTTGCTTATTGATATGTAAAAATGTTGACTTTAAAAATAAAATAAATTATATCTTGATTATTAATCTCAAATTATTATTTTTTATTAAAAACTTACATTTTATAGATAAATTAATAGGTTTTCATTCCTCTCTCAATTTGAATTGTTGAATTCATATTATGTAGATTCTTAACATAAATAAGGTCCACCTAGTTGAGGCATGTAATGTAAATTAAAATCGAAAAATTATATTTCTGTTAAAACATTACAAAATTATAAACAATCATTGTAAATAGGAACATAGTAAAAATAATTATTAAGATTGTAGGGGCTTTTGGCTTTAAGTAAACTTATCTATGATTATAAAAATATGAATTTTTGAATATTTTGTATTGCAAAAGTAAACTATTGTAGTATTTTTACAGGAAAACTTAAAAGTGTGTATTTACAAGCATGTGTGGAATTCCAATAAAAATGGCACTGAAAAAGTCATTGTTTACAAATTAATTAATTTATCATTATTTTTTCTGATCACTTTTGCATTTGCAATACTATATTGATATTTATCTTAAAGGAAAATAATTAAAAAACCCACTTCAATTAGTGCTTGAGGTGGGATTTGAACCCATAAACACTCACAGTCTGCTAAAACCAATTTAAATACCAGATAACCAGCAGGTTTTGTGAAATTAAGAATTACTTGCATTACTAGTGAGCATATGCTCATTTATGTTTAGGAAGTTCACCAAAACTATATTAATAATACCATTATAGAGAATAGAATAGAAAATTCTTTATTGTTAACATTACACAAGTTATATAGGTATACAAATTTAAAACAGTTTAACAAAATAATGTAACAATTGGCGGCCTTATCGCTTAAAGCTATTTTTTCCAGGCAAGCATGGGATGGAGAGAGAGAGATAACAATTTATGAAGACAGGGGTGTAAATGTTATCAATAACATTAAAAAGAAAATATGATCAAATAATAATCTTAATTAAAAAATTATAATTATGAATATTTTTTTTCTGACATAAGTAATACTCACTTTTTTTATTTGGAGATTATAATATGATAAAGGATTATTACATCATATGTTTAAAGGAGTATCAAGTTAAACAGGTAAATATACTGTTTATAAGATTTTATTCTGAATTATTTTAAAATTTAAAAATTACATAAAATTGAGCTTAGCCTCAGCTCAGTTTTATGTAACATTTGAAATAATATGAGGCTTTCTGTAACCATATATTAAGCTGCGTGCAAGATAAATGTTCAGCCTAATTAGTATTAGCTACATGAAAAATACATATTCTACTGTTTTTCACACAAAGTTAAAACCGACC